ATTTCTTCCTACACAAGAGCAAGGTATATCTTTCCATTTATTGATATCCTTTCTCAGAGTACTACAGTTTTTGATGTAGAGGTCTTTGCTACCTTCATCAGATTGGTTTCCAGGCATTAATTTTTTTGGATGCTATTGTGAAAGGTGGTGTTTCCCTGATGTCTCTCTCAGTGAGTTTGTATGTACAGCAAAGCTGTTGAATTTTGAACGTTGACTTTGTATCCTCCTATGCTACTGAATTTTCTTAATAGACTTAGATTTTTAGTGGAGTTTTTGGACTCTTGTATGTAGAGTACCATGTCATCGGCAAATAACAATAATTAAACTACTCTCTTGGCTATTCTTATTGATTTTATTTCTTCCCTTTCTCTAATTGCTCTGAGGCTAATTTCTTAATGGAAGTGAATTATTTGGAAGTGAATGTTAATGGGGCGTTAATATGAAGAAGTACTTGTGCATGTCCTTTCCACCTCCAAGCTTTCTTTTATTGTATTAAAAAGAACACGAGGAGAGGAATTCAGGGGTATTTCTGTTGCTTCATTCTGCTCAGCAGGAATGGTTCAGACCCCAAGCACAGTCTGCTGGGTGGTGGGCTGGTGTGCAGCCCTGCATGGTGGCCGAGTGCCCACCTCCTCTCCAAGGCGACCAGGACTCCCGCTGGCCTCTCCCTCGCCTCTGTCCTCCTGACCCAGAATCTGCCACAGGGCAGGGTGCTAGTGTGTGCTCAGTGCAAGACTCTGATGTGCTCATTTCTATTTAAATGATGAAGTCACTTCAGGGCACGAAGCACAGAATCCTCTGTCTCTGAGCTGCCTTCAGGAAATAAATGAATAAATAACCACAAGCTCCATTTCCGCGCTCCACAGAGGCTGGCGGGGCAGTTTGTGTGCAGCGTTGAGTACAAATTTGTGTGCCTGCCCTGGTTGGCGTGCAGCTGTCTATGCCATGACCCACTTGACCCAGGTTCTCTGAGATTTTCTCAGAACTGTGTCCTAGCATCCTCTCAGTCCCAGGCAACCAGCAAAATCGGTCACCATGGCAACTCTTCTCTCTTCTGTGCCTCATCCCCCGCCCCACCACTGTCTTGGTGAGAGAGGGCTGGATCCAGTCTCATCTCTGCACTTAAGATCTCAGGTCTCACAACAGTCATGAGCAGGCAAGGGGCAGGTCCTCCAGCATCCCTGATGCCATGCGTGGGTGACACTGGCAGTTACTGCTGTCGGCCACTGCCAGATGCAGTAGGAGTCGGTCCCTGCTCTCTGTGGGCTCCTGGTTGGTGGAGCCCTCAGGGACACCAGGCCCTAACATTTGCAGTTCTTTCTTTCTTCTTTTATTCTGCTTATTTATTAATTAATTTATGTATTGGCCAGCTCAGCCCACTCTGAGGGTGGGGCTGGCGCAGCATGTGCCGCTAGAGAATCGAACCACAGTCCCCTGTGCCTGCCTAAGCCTGCCTCAGCAGGCGCTTTAGGCCGCTGAGCTATCTCACTGGCCCCATCTGCACTTTCTTTTAAAGCAAGCATTCCATCTACATGCACTACTCAGGCTAAGTGGACAGATTTATAGGCCCTTCACTACCTGAAAGGTAACTCACAAGCATACGAATGGGATCCCAAGAGAAGAATTACTGGAACATGACCACTCTGCAGCAGGAAGTGCCTCTTCTACCTTCCTGGAAGTGGGAGGGGAGTGCTGCTTATACAGCAGCTGCAGCCTTGGGATTGGCCTAAATTTGGGCCCGCTGATTGGTCCAAACTAGCTAGGACTCACACCTTTCCACCCAAGCACACGGATTGGTCCAATTTGAGTTCTCCTGCTTAGTCTAACTTGGGCCTGCTGGCATGAGGGCAGACACCTTTGGGAGTAGGGACCAGGTGTCCAGGACCACAGCAGCAGTCATGGCAGAGGTTCTTGGAACATTGCATGACACTGTGTGTTTGACAGGGGTCACATCTCCATCATGAATGTCAGGGACCCACCCAGGGAAACTTCAGGAGGACTGTCTGTGCTCATCACAGCTTCCTGGGGCCCAGAGAGGTGGTGATGGTGATGTGGACCCCAGTGGTTCCCTGATCTCGGCCACTTTTCCCAAGAGGTGGCCACACACTGCAAAGTCTGGAGGGGGAGGGATACCCACAGCTGAGCTGCACCTCTGCTCAGAGCTGCTGGAGAGAGGGAGGGAGGACACAGAGGGACTCTGAGGACAGGTGTCCCAGTCCATCCCTGAGAGAGGAGGACACCACAGGGAGTGCAGGGAAGTGTGGGGGAGAGAGTGACAGCCTTGTGCCAGACCATCCATGCTGCTGCAGACTCAGGGCAAAGGGCAGGATGGGGCGCTGTGTCCCTGTCATCAGAGCGCCCAGGGGCAGGGTGAGACAATGAAGAGGAAGGACTCGGGCTTGCAGAGACACCTTTATTCTGATTGCAGGATGTGGACCGCTCAGCCAGCTGGGCCTGGTCCTAGTTGCTGGCAATGGTCTGAAAGAAAGCAGGGAGCAGGGCAGAGAGGGCCTAGTGAGGAGCTCGGGCTCTGGAGGTGGTGATGGTGAATTACAACACCAGGGCTCAGCTCCAGCTGTCACCCCAGCAGCTGTGGGACCCAAGGAGGACACTGTACCTCTCTGAGCCTTCCTTTCCTTCTCTGTAGTAGGATAAGGCTAGTGCTTTCTTCACGAGGTTCTCTAAGAAGCTATTAAGTCAGGTGCTCACCACAGTGCCCTGGGCCATTTTGTTTCATTTCTGTTGTAGCCAGGGCAGCTTTACCCTGGAGTTAGGTCCCCAACCAGCTCTTTTCTACTTCGTTATCTTCTTATTATTATTTTGGTGTTTTTGAGACAGGGTCTCACTATGCAGTTCAGGCTGGCCTTGAGCTCACTTTGTAGCCCAGGCTGGTCTCGAACTCAGCCTCCCGAGTGTGGGGATTACAGGCCTGTGCCATGTCACCAGATTTTTTTCTGTGTCTTTATTTTTTGTTTCTCAGCACTGCAGTCCATACACCTGGGCCTTTGCATTTAGCTACTTCCTCAGCCCCCACTTTGTTTTTCAAGTTTGAGACAGGGTTGTCATTCAGTTGCCAAATTGGCCTGGCTCACCTTAAAGGTAGAATCCTCCTGCCTCAGCCTCCCAGTGTGCCAGCGGTGTTGGTGTGGTATACCACGGCAGCTCTGGCACAGGTTTAAGTGGTCTACAACGTGTAGCCATTGCTGTTATCAGGAACTATCCAAGTCATCCTGGACAGACTCTCCCTTGAGGAAAGAGTTCTGTACTCTCACTGGGGCCTGAGTGTCACTGTCTCGGCTGCCACCATGTCTCGTGGCTCTCCTGTGTCCCTACCAGCAGGCCCTGTGTGTGCATGGCCCAAAAGCACTGAAGCCACTGTGCAAACCCTTAATAACTAAGAAAGCCGAGCAGCTGGGGCTCACTGCTCTGCCCAGAAGCCATTGGAGGTCTCTGGGTGAGGAGAAAACACGTGCTCCGAGGTACCTCCATGGGCCTCTGCTCCCCCTGGATCTGGGGCCCTCACAGAACCCCCCTGAGCTCACCTCCTCGATCCAGTCAATGAAGGCCGAGACTCGTGTGAACACCGTGGGCTTCTTGAGGGTGTTGCAGCCCAAGCCAGAAACGAAGCTGGTCACCCCATGGACCTGCCAGCTGCCCTCCTCGGTGGGGCAGTTGAGGGGTCCTCCAGAGTCACCCTGGAACCACCAGAGTGGGGGCTGAGCTGTGTGCTGGGCTAAGCGCACTGGGATTAAACTTTAGGAAACTCTGGACATTTGTGATGGAGCAAGAAAGCAAGGCCTCCTCTGAGAGTGTGTGTGGATGACAGGTGAAGACAATGAACATTAATGCCTGGCAGGGAAGAGGCGCTGAAGAAATGGCAGCTCCCATGCCTGGCACCACAGGTAGTACCATTCTTCGTACTAAGAGTTTAATGAGAATATTCTGAACTCTCTTTTTCTTTCTTGTCTCTCTCTCTCTTCTCTCTCTCTCTCTCTCTCTCTCTCTCTCTCTCTCTCTCTCTCTCTCTCTCTCTGTAGTGTTGGGGGTTAAACCCCAGTCCAGAAAATTGCTCTACCATTGATTTGCATGCTCTACCATACATCTACTCTCTGAAGTTTTTTTTTTTTTTTGCTTGCCAGGGCTGCCTTGAGGGTGGGTCTGGTAAGGCATGGGGAGCTGGGGATCGAACCACAGACCCCTGGGCCTGACTGGGTTTGCCCAAGCAGGAGCTTAAACAACTGAGGTAACCCGTAAGACCCTCTTTTTTCTTATTTTGAGACAAGGTCTCTCTGTGAAGTTCAGGCTGGCCATTAACTCTTTATGTTGACCCAGATGGCCTCAAACTATAGTGATCTCCTGCCTCAGAATCCACATACTGGGATTACAGGCCTTGGCTAGCAGGCCTGGCCATGAGATGTATAATTATAGCTTCAGAACATTTGAGCTGATATGACTTGGAGGGCAGAAGGCAGTGTCCCTTGTTACAGAGAAGGAGACCCCTGATGCCCAGGGAGGGACAGTGACCTATTCCAGTGAGGGCTACCTCTGAGCAGGACCTGGAATCTGGGTCCTGTCTACCAGACCAGGCAGTATGCTGACTTCTCCAGGTACTGCCTGTCCTGGGGCTAAAGGAGGCTAGCAGGGCCTGTGCAGGGCGAACTCACATTGCAGCCAGACTGGATGTCCCCGCCGGCGCACACCATTGTTTTCCTCACAGAAAGGCCCCACCAGTCCCACTTGGAGCAGCGCTTATGGTCCACTACGGGCAGCAGGGCCTGCTGCAGCTTGTCTGGGAGAGGCCCATCGGCTGTGGGGACAGAGAACAGTGAGTGGGGAGCCAGGCCAGGAGCTGGGAGATATAGAGAACCCTGGGTACAGGGGGAACTGGATGTTCCTGCAGGGCTTATTCACCAAAGACCAGAGCTGATGTGGCCTTCCACCCACAGCCCAGGATTAGCTTTGTGTCTCTGTCCCTGTGGCCACTAGAGGGGTCTGAACATACTGTAGAGGCGGCCCCAGCCAGTGATATAGCAGGGTGCTTCATCAGGCAGGATTTCACCAGCGGGAGGGAGCTGGGCCAGCTGGACATTGTCCCCCAGCTCAGCACTGCGTGACAGCTTGACCAGGGCGATGTCATTGCTGGGGAGGAGAAGAGTCACACAGAGCCTGGGTTTCTACCCAGCCAGTCCCCACATCCTGGGCTCAGATCAGGATAATGGGGGTTGGACTCCACAACATGAACATTGAAGACCTTTTCTTTTTCTGACACTGGGGGCTGAAACCATGGTCTTGACTCTGAACTGTATTCAAAGACCTTTTCTTTTCACAGTTCTTTTTCTTTTGAGACAGGATCTCACAAAATTGCTAAGTTGCCCAGGCTAGGCTCAAACTTCAGTCCTCCTGCCCCAGCCTCCTTTGAGGCTGGGACAGCAGGCATGGCCCTGAATACCTGCCTAGGGCAAGTGGTATGAGAATCCCCATCCCCGACTCCCGCCCACTCCCACCCTTGGCCTTCTTAATCTAGAATTCTTCCCAGTGCACATGGTCCCCTGAGTGAGAACCACTGGAGAGCCCAGGACACAGCAATGGCTGGGCGGCCGCTCAGCCTCGCCAAGGCCGTGGGTCTGGGAAAAGCCAGAAATCCGTATTTCTAAGGGTTCCCCAGGTTGCTTGGATGCTGGTGTCGCATGGCCACACTTTGAGAAACAGAACTCTTGCCTTCACGTGCCTGCTGGTCACGCAAGTCACTTCACTGGGGCCCGAGTTGTCCCTCTGCTCATTCTAGGAGGCTCAGATGGGCCGGGGTCTCGCTCCTCACGGCTGCTCACACCTACACTGCACTTGCAGGTCTGAACCTCCTCTACTGTCTAGAACACCAGAGAAACTGCACCACCCAGACACACAATTCTGCCTGCACCGGAGGGCTTATGACAGACACCATGAGCCTCACAGGCACCCTGGAGCCCTGCTTCATGGTCACCCTGTGACAAAGGGCACAGTAGCCACCCCAGAGAGGTCACTGGAAGAGTGAGCTCTCAGGCCAGTGCTCCTTCTCTTGCCCACAGTTCTGAGCCAGAAGGCCCAGGCTTCATTCACATCTGTCACAAGGGGGAACCTTGGGTTTGTAGGAGAGTAGGAGCCAGAAGAGTCCTGGTTTGGGGGTAGGACTGCACCTCCCGGGCCCCAGTGTCCCCTGTATAGGGAGAGGACTCTGGTGTCTGTGCTCTTTAAAGGCTCTGGTGGCTCAAGACTTGGTGGATGTGTGCTGGGGTCTAGCATGAGGGTCACTGGCCATAAAGGGTCAAATGTAGAAGGCCCAGGTGACTGGCCTGGGACCCCACTCACCCACAGGCTACACAGTAACTGCTCCAGCGTGGATGCACAAAGAGGTCGCCAGCGTTGATGGGGATCACCTGCTCAGGCCCCTCCTTTACACTCCGGTCATACTCGCCCAGCACCACCTGGTAGGTCAGGGATGTCCTGCAGGTGGAGGACAGGTGAGTCCAGGCCTGTGGCCCTCCTCTCTCCTCTCCCACATCCCTCACTGCCCCAGCCTCCCTGTTCTCACACAGGGACAAGAGCTGGGAGAGCCCAGGGGCAGCTGACAGAACTCACGAGATGCAGTGGCCTGCAGTCAGGACCCAATTGGGGGCAATGAGGGTGCCACCGCAGGTGTGGCGGAAGGTCCCGTCCTTCTCATACTGCAAGGAGACCTGGTGGCCAAGGAGAAAAGGGCCTGAGTATCCTGGGCTCCACAGTAAGACTTGTCAGCCATGTCTCTCCATTCTGCACTGTACAACTCTAGAGAGTTCTGTTGCCATGGAAAAGAACAGCTCCCTCTGAAATGTGCAGCGCGCAGCCTGCTTAACTGCTCCTGGTGGCTCCGTCTCTTCCTACTGGGATACATTCTGAGTCACCACAACCTCCCCACTCTACAGTCTATGACCTCTCTGGGGAACAAGCACTCTTCCCTCTAGCGGGTCCCCAGCCCTTCTCTGAGAACACTCAGGGTCTCTATCTGGCTCTCCCACTCTTCTGGGCCACAGTTGTTCAAAGGCCTCCGGACCTCAAGAAGCACAACCCATCCTGAGTGCTTGTCTCTCCACTTGATCATGCATTTCATTTCCAAAAGCTCCCTCTAGACTAAGGGTAGGCAGACTCCTCATGTGGGCCCCGTCTGGGCCACGGCTAATGTTTCTGTTTTGTTTTTATTCTTTCCTATGCTAGGGATTGAACCCAGGGACTTTGTACTGAGCATCATCCTAGGTCCTTGATTGAAATCTTGAGATGGTATCTCACTGTTACTAAATTTGTAATGAAGAGTTTTTGGAGTGGATGGAGGCTCATTCCTGTCCCCATGCCATGGCTTCTTTGAGGACACAGTGGTGGTGGAATAAGTCCTGGTTCAGTAATTTTGGGTGATGCCTCCACTGTTTACCTTGTGATCCACACAGGGCGCGCCTGTACCCTCACCCAGGAAGACCTTTCATCACCATGGAAATGTCCTAGATCTCTGCTGTCTCCTGTGGCCCCTCCCATCACGTGGCTCTTGAGTATTTGAATGTGCCTAGCAGTGAATATCTGAGTTTTAATTTTACTTCCTTTAAATTAAATTGAAAGCTAGGGTTGCAGTGTGTGACGGGAGAGTGCGTGGAGCTCTCTGGGCATCTGTCGGCGTGCCCAGCGAAGGGCCTGAGCTACTATACGCCTGTAATGCCAGCCACTAAGGACACGGAGCTTCAGGCATGAAGATGGAAAGTGCTAGGCGTGCTTGAGAAATTTAGCAAGAGCCTATTTCAAAAATTATTTTCAAAAGATTTATGGAGTGGTTGGTGGTCTATGATCCCATTACTCAGGAATCGGAGGCAAAAAGGTCATTCCCATAAGTATGAAAGCATGATAGATACTATAGTGAGTTCAAAGCCAGCTTGAACTACCTGGGGAGATTCTGTCACCAAAAAAGAAAAAAAAAAAAATCCAAAAATAAATAGATTAACTAATGAACAGAAACATTTTCAGACAAGGCTTAGAGATGTACAAGGATGTAGCTCAGCTGTAGAACACTGGCCAGATGTGCCCTAGGTCCAGGGTTCAATCCCCACCAGCACTAAAATATAAACAAAACCAACCAACCCTAATCTTTCAAGTTCTCAGATCTTAGAGCGCTGATGTACAATTTGAGGAATCCAGAAGCGAGTCCCCCCTCCATCTTCCTTCTGGAAATCCACCATTACTGTACTAGCCTCAGAAGTCTACCCTCTCCACAGACTCTGTTTCTGCAAGGCCAGCAGCCAGCTGGGGTGCAGGCTGCATGGGCAAAGCAGAAGAGCAATATGGAAAGGAAGCACGACCCGTCTGGGGGATCAGACGTTGGGGCCAGGGCTGTGGAGGGCAGCGAGCACCTGGTCCAGCTCTTACCTGCCATGGCCAGCTGTAGGGAACAGCATCCTCACCATTGACCACGCGGCCAGAGGGGCCGTGGGAGGGGTGGCGGCCGCCTGAGGCTAGAGGAGACAGTGGGGTGACCTTCAGCCAGGCTCTAGAAGGAGGAAGCAGGCCAGGCCACCAGGCCCAACTGCGCCACAAGCTGCCTGTGTGGCCCTGGGCCAGCTCCTATCACCCTCTGCTCTGCAGTACCACCGAGGAAGGAGTATTTGCTGATGCATTCCCAGGCAGGGCTTTCCTAAGTCCCAGGACCCAGGGCCTCCTTCAGCTGACAGTGCCTGGAGGGCCCTGAGCCCTCCAAAGTGGAAGCCAATATCAGAAAGAGTGAGCGCTCTGAAGTGCCACTGCCTGGGCTGAGAGGCAGCAGCCTGCTTCTTGTGTCAGGACACCTGCTTTCCAGGTCTGAGGATCAGTTTCCCTCTCTGGGAAACCGGGATAATAATTGTACCGGCTTCGTGAGGCTGTGATGAGAATGAAATGAGTTCACCTAAGACCTGCTGGCAGCATCCCACCTGGCCTACAGGATGCGCTGAGCAAGTGTCACTGTCTCTGTTCATCAAGCAAGGCCACTAGGACGAGGCGGCCATGAGCCAAATGGAAGACAGCAGAGAGAGAAGCAAAAGGCCAGGCACCAGCTATGGAGCCGGAGGTGCCAGTGTGATGGGAGAGCTGTGGTGCAAATTCCAACCCGAGGCTCCAAGCACAGAGCAGGAAGTCTTAACCTTGAGAGGGGCTCAGGGACCCAGGAGGGGGCGGCCCTGGGGTGCTCCCTGCCTTTCCCTGAAGGCCTCCACCAAAGCTTGTCCAGCACCCCGCTCCTGCTGCACCGCCACAATCACGCCCAGGAATAGAAGGAGACTCCGCGTGTGGAAGCAGGTGTTGGGTGCTGTGGGACCCAGGGCAGGTGGCAGAGGCATCTGCGGCCTTGGCCTGTGCAGCACAGGGAACCCAGGCCCAGGCTGGGGTCTTACCAAGGGCCACAAGGAGAAGGGAACTCAGCAGCCACAGCATCGTGAGCTTTGAGGGGATGGGAAAGTGATCCACAACCAGGGGCTCTAATATAGGGCAGGGGGCAGAGGGAGGGCCTGGGCTGGGCCCCATTCCCAGAACAGGTGGTAGAATATCAGGTCCCCCAGAGCCCAAGGCCACAGTGCCTCCCTCTGCAGATAAAGGAGAAACAGCCAATCGAAAGACCAGGTGACTGTGCAGGTGGCATTGAGTAGCCAGCTGATAACAGGAAAAGGTAAGAAGTTTTGCTTTGACCCTGACCAAGCCTGGATTCAAATCCTGCCTCTGCCAAGTCCATGCTCTGGGACCTTGGGCAGATGGATTAACCTCTCGGAATTTCAGGTTTGCGAAATATGTGTCCTACGTATAGTTCATTTCATCTCCTTTAATTTCCATAATTTTACTGAGCACTTTCTCTATCTACCCTGAGTACCGTGCTGGGGCCACTGCCAGGAACAGGACCTTGTCCCTGTTTTCCTGTTGCTTGGTTTAAGGCAGAGACAAAGACAGGCAAGCACAGGTCCAGGAATACTGTTTCCAATCTTGGTGTGGGCAGATGGTACAGAGAAGAAAACACGGGTGGTAGGGAGCAGCCCTTGTAGCTGAGAACCCCAGAAAGTGACACTAGCGGAGGGAAGCATTTGACTGAGTCTGGATGGGTAATAGCCAGAGCAGGGAGGGTCTGGCCGCAGAGCACTCTGGGAAGAGGGGTTGATAGTGGTCAAGTGCCAAGGGCTCAAGCTGAGTGGACCAGGCTTCTTGAAGAACCACGAGTCTCTCTGATTGTCCCGCTGCTGTCAAGATGGCACCGCAGAAGGAAAAGAAGCCTAGGAGGTCAACCTGAAAGTTTAATTTGGACCTTACCCATCCAGTAGAAGATGGAATTTTTGATCCTGGAAATTTTGAACAGTTTCTGAGGGAGAAGGTTAAAGTCAATGGAAAAACTAGAAACCTTGGGAATGTTGTTCACATTGAATGGTTCGAGAATAAGATCACAGTTGTTTCTGAGAAAGTTCTCCAAAAGGTATTTGAAATATCTTACCAAGAAGTATCTTAAAAAGAATAATCTTGGGCCAGAGAGATAGCTCAGTAGAGTAAGCACTTGCCTGGCAAGTGCAAGGTCCTGAGTTGAATTCCCGGTACAATAAATAAAGAAAGAAAGAAGAAGAAGAAGAAGAAGAAGAAGAAGAAGAAGAAGAAGAAGAAGAAGAAGAAGAAGAAGAAGAAGAAGAAGAAGAAGAGTGTAAAAAGAATAATCTTCATGATTGGCTTCGTGTGGTTGCATCTGGCAAAGAGACTTAGGAACTCCGATGCTTCCAGATTAGTCAAGATGAAGATGAATTAGAGTCTGAGGACTAAGTAATTGCCTCTTACAAGGCTTTGCTGTTTCCTAAAACAAATGAAGTATGTGTGAGAAAGAAACATCCAGAAATGGGCTTTTAGTTTATTGGTGAATAAAAACATTGCAGTCTTTAAAAAAAAAAAAAACAAAAACCAACAACATGAGTCCAGCGTGGGCTGGAGGGGCAGCCCTGTCCTTGAGGAGCCACAGTGGCACTGCAAGTGCCCACCATGTCCACAGCCGGCCACATCATCCAGTACACGGGCATGAAGAGGTTCATTCTGCTCATCCTCGGTCCCTGAGACACAGAGAGCTCACACTCAACGATGAGTGCACCCATGTGTCCTCTGCTTCCTGCTAGAATATTAATCAATGGTGGAGAGAAGCCAATCCCAGCAACCATGTTATTACAACACAGGATGTTTTCAGTACCTTCGGATCTTGCTCCAAATAATCAGCTCTGCTTTCCATCTCTAGTTCTGCCTTTTCCAGAGTCTTACATTCAGAAGGAATCTCATAGTGTAAAGCATGGACCTGTAGTTTCTGGAGTCTTTCAGATCCATCCTTGTCAGTGGTGCTGTGGAAGGTGCTGAGTGTATCATGTAAAATATCTGCACCTCTTACTAAATAAAAGTTACCCAAGACTATGATGCTTTTGCACGACAGGACTGAGGATTATAATCAATGTTCTTATGCTTCTTCTGTCTGAAATTCAGAGATTGAGAGAGAGAGAGAGAGAGAGAGAGAGAGAGAGAGAGACAGAGACAGAGACAGAGACTAATAGAGACAGAAATACAGAGAGACAGAGATAGAAATAATCAGAGACAGACACAGAGAGAGAGGGAGAGAGACATATAGACAGACAGACAGACAGACAGACAGACAGACAGACAGACAGACAGACAGACAGACAGAGACAGAGACAGAGGAGAGAAAGGATTCTGGAGGACATCTTTGCAGATAAGAGGACTGAGGAGTTGGAAATTTATTCTATGCATAAGGACCAAAGCACGGGTTTGTGGGGAGGTGACAAAGAGGAGAAAGACCTGGATTCGCTGTGTATTTAGAAAATCCTTCTTCCTTGGGCCAGTTGTGGTAGCATATGCCTGTAATCCCATCAATCAGGAGGCTGAAGCAGGAGGATCCCACATAGCAAGGATCTATGTCAAATGATCAAACTGAAAACACACACACACACACACACACACACACACACACACATTTCCTCCTGAGGCTGGGGTTGAGCAGTAGGGTAGGGATGACGGGGTGAAGAGAAGAAGACCAACTAGACCCACTTCAGTCACGCAGGCCCCACAGGAGGAGGTGGGGGCTCCACTTTTGGGACTAGAGGTGGCACCTGAGAGGGAAGTGTGGCATCGGTGTGTTTTGGAGGAGCTGCATCTCTGAGATGTCACTGTGAGGCAGTGAGCACAGTGCCTGGTGCTGCATCCCATTGGTTTGCAGAAAGCACTCAGCCCTTGTTTGCTGGCTGTGGGCAGCAGCCTCCCAGGACAGGCCCAGCATGTTATGAGCACCTTGCCATCCCTAGGGAGCAAGGTGAGCCTGGAACCTGCTGCTCAGGCCGCTCCAGAACCCGGGCAGCCTCACACAGGTGCCGGCGCCCTCACACAGCTCTCCAGTGGGGCTGCCTCCAGGTGGTGCTTGGAGGCCTCGTAGTGTAGATGGGCATATGACTGCATGGTTTCTGCTGAGGAACCCACCCCTCCAGCAACCCTCAGGGACATCTGCCACTGTGCTAGTCCAGGCCCAGGGAAATATGGGGACACATGTGAAGCAGCTGTGGAAATCCTTCAAGTGGGATAAAAATAGCGGTGCCCTCCCTGGCGCTGTTCCAGTGGACCTGCATGGGTTTATTTGCTCAGCTTTGGCACTCAGAGCCCTTCCCTAGACCCTGGGTGGAAGACAGAGGAGCTGGCTTGGGGACAAAGGGGCAGGGCACATCTTCCAGCTCCTACTGCAGATAGTCTGGAGTGGACAGGGCCTGGGAAGACCGTCCATGCACCCTCTGTCATCAGACATGTGGAGACATCATCCCAGGGAGAAGCAAGGGCTTCCTTGAGGTCCCCTGGCATGTCACTATGGGGCCTCACAGAGGCTAACACAAGGGCACAGGGAGCTCAAACCCTCTCCCCACACAGGTGTCAAACAGGAAGCAGGCCCAGCACTCATCCAGGTGGCCTTGAGCACATCCTGCCCAGGTGCCAGTTCTGTATACAGACGCGCAGCCACTTGGCCCTCTTCTGGGTCCCAGGGGAGGCCCCTCTGAGCCCAACCATGGCCTGGGGCTCCTGGCCAGGCCTGTTTGTGTTTCAGGGCTTCTGAGCAGATATCTCCAGCTTTGTTGCTGGTTAAATATGATGGGGTTTGGGGGTGTGTGGGAGGGTCAGGTGCAGCTTGAGCTAAACTCCTGAAATGCAGCTCCACCCCGTCCCAGTAGAGGGAGCAGGCCTGGGAAGAAGAGGGCCTCCGTGCACCACAGGCCTCAGCCCTCAGCCCTCAGCCCCTGGGGAATCAGACAGCAGGGAGGGTAGGAGGTAGAGGGTGGGGAACTTGGGAGCCACTATCACTGGGGTCCATTATTTCTAGTTTCTGTTCAGTGGGAAGCTCTATGAAGAGCAAAACTTGGCCTTATTCATCCACGAATTCTGTGTCTACCTAGGTGCACCTCCATAAACCCAGCACTCGGGAAGCCAAGGCAGGTGGATCACTGCAAGTTCCAGGCCAGCTGGGATCCACGGTGGGAACCAGTGTCTCAATAAATAATTTCCCAGTGCCTAGAACAGAGGCTGCTACGTAGTGGTTGTTCAACTTGTAATGCTATTTTTTAAAGGAGGCCCGGAATGGAGCCACAATGCCACAGGTCTCTTCAAGCGTCATTCTTCTCCTCCCCTGACAGTACAGTTGACCCTGACATTCACACAGTGCAGAGCTGGAGGTCACCCCACCCTATGTGTCCCAGGAAATGTCCTTGGTGGCACTGCTTCATGGCCTTGTGTTCTGTGATAAATGAACCCACCTGACCCGAGCCTCACAAGGCAGGAGGTGTTCTCTGCTTGGTTCACCACTGAGGCCTCAGCTCTCAGGGCAGAACCCAGAGGGTATTTAGAAAAGAATCAAAAAACCCAATGAGATTGGAAAGTAGTGAGGTTAAAGTTCAGATGGTTCTTTCTGAAAGACTTTTCAGATCCTTTTATGCATCTGTCCAGGCCTTCTTGGGGCCTTGTCTCCCTTGATTTTCGCAGCTGCCAACCCACCCCTCATATGGGCAGCCCAATCTAGAGGAGGCTGCACCAGGTGCAGGATTAGGAGGCCCATCTGTGACACAAGGAAGCTACTGAAGGGGCCCAAGATTGGGACATGCACAGACTGGATCTTGTCCCCAGGCAGATGTCACCTCAGCTAGGCCCAGGGGGACTTGCCTCTTTCCCACATCTGGGGACCTGCTTTCTAGGGCTTAGCAGCGTGGGATGGGAGAAACCTTCTCGCTACTGGGAGGAAGAGTGTGAAGCTTCCATCCCACCTGAGATGCTACCACAAATATACATTCAGCAAATATTCGCAGGCATATTCTAGAGTCCAGCATCCTCTTGTTCACCAGGCTCCTGCAGACAGATGCTGCCTCCCCCACCCCGTGCTCTCA